ACCATTTTTCAACAGATTTAATGCTATTTTTATTTCATTAAATCCAGCATCCAAGATCTGATTTTGTGGCACTTCAATGAGCAATACTGGTATCCTGCAAAACCTCATGTTTGTATAGTTGATGGAAAAATTATCTCATCTTTGAAATTGTTCATTTCAAAACTCTACAGATGTCCCATCTCATATATACATAACTGACTTTTCACTACTTGTTGATTTTTCCTCCTACATTAAGGCATCTAGGAAAATAAAACTTTGGGCATCTATGCAAGGATAGTATCTGATATAATATCGCTTTTGAGTAGATAAACCTTGCACACTGGTGCTGTATGTAACTGTTCTGTAAGTATGGCGATTAAATGTGATTTCCCAAAATATATTCACACACAAAATAGACACATATACTCAACATGTAACTTATGATAGTGTCTTATAACAAATAATCATGTAGCTTCTGCACAATCTATTTAGGTCTATCTCTTTCTTTTTTCTTCATTTAATAAGCCTTTATGCTCATAGGAGAAAAGATATGGTTACCAGATCAAGGCTGTAAAATCCAAAGAACCACTAGATGGAAATATTTTTTTTCTATGGTTATCTGCTACCTTCCAGCGGTCCTCTGGATTTCTGCAATGAGATCTAACAGTTCTAAGAAAGGACAAATAATTACAAAAATAATTTGAGCAGCAGATCTTGACCTTAAATTTTAAAAAAAGCTATCGACAATTAAATATTCAAATTCAAGTTAATTTTATGTTTTTATTATTTTTAACAAATACTTAACCAAACCATAGTTAAAACATAGTGAACTCAGTACCTGAAGCTGTATTTTAGCATCTTTGCTCACACTTTTTGTTCTCCATCTTCTGGTGACACGCTTGTCTTTCTTATCTACACTGTTAGCCTATGTTATAAAATAATCAAAGTAGTAAAGCATTGGGTTAAAGCTGACAAAGCTGACAGGGACAATACTGCAAAAGTTAGTAACAAACATCGAGCATTAGTTGTCTGCCAAACATAAGCAAAGTGTTATTCTATACATTATGGTACAGATAAAGCAAACATGCTATTAAAGACAGTTTCAAAAATAAAAATTGCAGGACAATTCTTCAACCATTTACAATAAAGAATTCTTTCTAAAATTTGCTAGCTAGGATAATTCCATTTTTCTTTTCAGAATAGTCCTTAATACAAAGAACACAGAACAAAAAGGCAACCAAATATTAAATTTAGAACAAAGTATGCAATTTAGGTTTAAAAATTATTTCAGTTGACGCTCATTAGAGAACCTGACTCTAATAATGAATAATTCTGCACCACCTTGTGTCATACTAGAAGTTCATATACTGACAATGATATGGCTGTTAGCAGAGAATGTTCATACAGAGAATATTTCAAATGCAAAACAGATAGTATAAGCAAGCATTATTTTAATAATTTTAAAAATCAATTTTATTTACCTGCATATCTGTGAAGCTAGGTGCTGATTGAGTTCTCTGAAGTATTTCTAAGTTCTGAAGAATTTTACTGAGTTTTACAAGATTCGATTGACAATGTGCGAGATCTGACCAAAAAAAAACCAGATTTAGAACAAAAACTTACTTTGCTTAAGATTCCATTTGCCAGAGGAACGCAAGAGAATTAAACTGAAATGATGATATCTGAAACCCCCATTCCCCACTAACATTTCAGAAACAAAAAGATCACATGTTACAAATCCATAAAGTTCATGCCACATTATGCTAACAGATTTTAGGTTCCCATCTCTATTCCACACAGCTGTTGAAATTTTTTCCTTGCATGTCCCCAAACCTTCTCAGAATTATCTTCACAGACTGGTAGATATCATGATGGGAATTTATTCCATATGTAGAATAAAACAATTTATGTGCTGACGGGAAGACACATTGAAAAAACTGCCTAAACACAGAGTTTTAGGAAGGTTTTTATTCTTTGATTCTTCTATCTTATTAAATTGTATTTCAAGGCAAACAATGGGAACATCCTAAAATTCATTCTGGGTTATCTTTAATTCCTACAAATATTACTTCTGAGTTAAATGATAACTATTTAAAAAATGTTAAAGGATACATTGAAGTAGAAAGTATAAACTAGGTTGTTACCGGTATTACTTATAATATATAGGAACTACAGAATGTTCAGCTCTATAGCTGAAATAGAATATACTGTATATTACATAGGAAATATTTGTTAAGTAGAAGTGGAGTACTTTTAACTATAAAATATACTAACATTAGGAACGGCTTTTGATTAGTCCTGAAAATCTGAATGTTGATGGTTCTTGGAAAAAATGGCATGTAATTAAAAAGAGGTGGCTTCATTTTAAGCACAGCCGAAGGAGAATTCTTATGTATTTTTTGCAATATAACATACAATAAGGACATTTCATTTCCACCATAGCTTTAAGCTATGTTCGCCTTGTAGCTCTATCAGTAGCAGTGAAGATTAAAGGAAGGCAGTGCTGACCTTCTGCACACTTGTCCATCTCCTCTGATTCTTGCAACCAAGCAACTACTTTACTTTGGCCAGAAGTACACGTTTCAGGTAGACTGCTACTGCAAGGGATAGACGGTTGCCAGGGGAAATTATTCTGTGAGACCTAAAGAAAGATATAGCCACATATATGCATATACCTGTGAGAATTCTGAGAGAAAGACTGCCTGTGATAAAAAATAAAGTGGTAATTGTTATTCTCTTCTTTAAAAACTGACGCATGTATGTATCTGACACTCTAGTCTAAATTAAACTTAATAACAAATATTTCAGTAAATGTGGTGGAGGTTGTCCTCAACTTATGACAATTCAGCCTAAAATTTATATTGCTAAATGAGGAATTTGTTAAGTGAGTTTTGCCCCACTTTTGTTAAGTGAGTCACTGCAGTTGTAAAATTAGTAATATGGTTGTTAAGTGAATCTGGTTTTCCCATTGATTTTGCTTGGCAGAAGGTTGCAAAAGGTGATCACATGATCCTGGGACAGTGCAACCGTCACAAATGTGAATCAGTTGTCAAGCATCGGAATGTAAATCTCATGACCATGGGAAATGGTCACTAAGTGAACTGTTGGAAGTCGAGGACTACTGTACAGTGTAGATTCCTTTGTCGAGTATGTTCTTCTTTTCGGTGTTAGTGTTACTCATATATAAAGGCATCCATTTTCATTTGCATCCATAAAGGAGAAAAATGAGTGGATAGCACTGTTATATATTATAAAACAACTATATATGAACTGAAGGATGGTATTCTTCCTGACCAAAAAAGATTATACCTTAGTTTCCAGCACTGTGGCATTAGTAGCTGGTGAAGATTCAGTGGTGGAAGTTGAAGGGAATATGTGGAAACTGGCATCCCGTGGCGATCGCACAATTTCATTCTGACGATATAATCTATGATGGCGCAACTTTGACACCCAAGCATCAAATGAATCCTGGGATTTTACCTAATTAAAAGATCAGTGTGAGTGAGGAATCCAACAATAGTATTTAATCTTCCTTTTACAGCAAAATTTGAAAATAAAAATTAGTAGAAATACTCCGTACTTTTAAATGGTAGATATGTTCCTCGGTGTCAAGATCTATCCTACGTGCTTTCTTTTTAATTGACATAACCGATAACCCCACATCTATGCTCCCATGAACCTTCCCTTTCTGAGTCTGAAAAACAAAGAAACAACAGTAAATGTATGCACATTAGGAAATAAAAGGCAAAATCGATAATTTATCGCTGTTGAGAATGGACGGACAGATTTCTGGGATATAATGCAAGGGTACATAAAATAGCAAAAATAAGGAAAAGTTGGGAAGACATTATCACATGCTGCTTATCAGGACAGGATTATTATGTAAAAAGCGCACTGCTTTTTCTTCCACACATACATATCAACATTTCACAGGTTGCATAAACTACATATACATACAGGCAAAAATTACACCTCTAATTTAAATGACATTTCTATGACAGCTACTTTCATTACTAAATAAATAAATTCAGATTAACACTGACTCATCTATGTAATAATATATGGCCCAAGGGCTAATCAATAAAGACTTATTATTATTATCTACGTAATAGTAAAAGCTATGATGATAAAAGATGGCTAATATAACTCTGACAAGATGCATCATTCAAATGCAAATACTACGTCTGTAAAGTTCAATTTATACTGATAAACAATAATAGAGAGTTTAATAAAGAATAATAGAGAAAATTTGTACTTGAATACATTCCAAAATAGGTCCGAGGGCTCAAACTACAAAAATAAGCCTATTAACTTCTATTTGTCATCCATTATACACATGATATTTCAGAAATAACTGAAAATAATGTTACTTAAATAGTTAACTCTTCCTCTGAACAAAATATCGACATGTTCTGAATCAATTTTCCCTTTCCGTGATTACACACAAAAGGAAAACTAATTATAATTAAGATTGCTTTTGTGTTTTCGAGCATTTTGTGCATAAACTCTTGCTTTATAAAATAAGTAACAAAATGTACTTAATTCGAACATATATAGATATATAATCTATGAAGTTCTAAAGATGCATCAAAAAATAAATTCATCTAAAATATTGTAGGCCTTGTTTGTTTTATACTGCTGCTTTTTAACAGAGATCTTTTAAGTTGCTAGATTACGTAGTTTCAGCAGTTAATCATTTATTATTCTAATGTTTTTCTTAACGATGCTAGATTTTTCCAATGTTTATGTAATTATTGACTTGTATTATTATGGTAAAATAATTGTTTTATGGTCTATAATCACCTTATAATTAAAATAAAACAAAGTTACAATTTAAAATCTCTAAGCACTACTTATTAGTATGGTAAACCCTTGATTTACCAATCTTCATTAAAAATTGGTTCATGAAAGCAATGGAGAAAATTCATTTACTGTTTATGCATCCCTTTTGCCATTTAATGGACATTCAGATCTAACAACCATCCCTTCCCCTCTATTGTTCTGTGAAATTGAGGGTTTGATACATTTTGTAGTCCACTGAGCAGCAAATGACACATAAGAGAATTTCCAAGGCACTTGACCTACAAGGACACAGGTGTTGCATAATAGGTACACTGGTTATATCAATCAAATAATATTGCAAAAATATTGATCTGACCAAAGTAAAGTTTCAAAGTAGTAGCATTAAGGCAAGAAGCTGGTGTGCTTTCAGTTTTAAATCTTAGTAATTTAAGAGCCAGAGGGTGGAATTTGCTGGCTCGTTATAAACAGGAGTCTGCCCTGTCAATCTTAGTTGGGGTATGCTTTCTTCCTTGATGTAGGGAGAAACCACAGGAATGAGATTTCATCTCTAGGTGATGAAATAACTGCTGGAAAACAATCAAGCTCAGAGACACTAAAAACCCAGCAGGTTAAAAAGTATCTAATTTCCACAAACAAAATCTGGCAAATTATAAAACTGAAAAATTCAGAATGTTTGTGATAAACTCCTGAGGATGGGGAAAAAAGGGGAACTGAATGGCAGGATTTACATCTTTTCTCTGCAGTACAGGAATGTCTGCATCACTACTGGAACTAAGTATCCAAATAATATGTAACATTTTTTTAAAGGCCCCAGGGTTACTTACATCAATTGGTGACTTTGAATATTTCAACATTCCATTGTCCAGAACAAAAAAGCGCTGCAGGGGAAAAATGTAGGAGATCACAATGCAATGGAGACCATATAAAACTATTAATGAAGACATAAACACACTGCATGCAGCAAAAAACATCATTACAAGAAATGAAGGGCCAGGATAGAAACAGATTTTCCCAGCTTGATGGAACATAATCAATCAAGCAATCCTAAAGCTAAATCACTGAAGTTGCTTTATGAATTGAACTAAGGTATATGTCAATACAACCCATCACTTTTTTATATATATAAATAGCTCACAGGATCATACAGAAACAAAATATTTTCAGAATGGGTAAGAACAGGACCTATGTAGTCCTACTGAATAAGCAGCACTGACGTCCCCAGAGCAGAGAAAGGAAGGATCTATCGGTCCTTCAAACTAGTTTAGACAAGAAGCCCAAAACAATTCTAACACTACGGTTATTGTAAGATTATAGAAATAAAATCTCGCAAGTCTGAAAGCACATCTCACATAGTTTTATTTATTTTTTCTAGAAAACTAGGGAGGGTGCCTTCTGAGATGCTTCCTACCCTCTTTTCCCCCCTCTGGACTGAGGTACTTTGGCATGACAGCTTTCAAGTCTGCAGCTCTTTGCTTGCTTTCCAAGGTCATTCCAATAGACCATGACAGAATCAGACTGATATAAGCAGAACTGCAGCATTTGATGCAAACCCTGCCCCTCTCTATGTGCATTGTGATGTAACAAGGACATCTTTAAAAAAAAAGCAGAGCTTCCAGATCCAATACTGCTTTCATCATTCTGACAAAAGTAGCAAGATTCTGCGGCTTGTAAGGGCGTGTCTGAATTTCTGAAAGTGACTCTGCTTTATTTGACAGAATTGAATCAAGGCATGCACGGGGCAATTTCAATAACCCTACTGAATTACTGCATCTGAAAGCTTGACTAGAATTGAGTTTCTGAAGGCTAGGGTCTTTTTTTTTTTTTTAATAAAGTTTTATTTGGGTTTTCATACATACAAGTAAAACATCTTTTTTGAAAATATCATGGTCCTGGGTTGAACTTCTTTATACAGACACAAAACTCAATTTCATGCTCTTTTTTGTGTTCTATTCCATATCTTATACTATTCTACATTTTCTATATAGTTTTTCCCCTCTTTTAATTTTCTCAATTTTATTTTGATTGTCTCATCTCAGTTCAAATCATTATATTTATACTTTTGTCTGTTCTGTTTCAATTTCATATTATCTTTTCTCATTGAACAAATTTTCTCCTGTAATTACTAATTGGAGTATGACACCTTTATATCTTTTAATTACATCCATTCAACTCTTATTTAAACTTCAATATATACCTTAAGGTTATGACCTTCAATATAATACATAATACATAACTTCCAATCGAATTCTTCTTGGTACATTCTTATAATACACACTATATTCTTTAAAAAAAAGATTATAAATATATGTAATTATAAACCCTCATTCTATTCCAATTCAGTTCTATCATTAATAATCATTAAAATCTTAACATCTTTAACACTTCTTTTCAATTAAATATCATACTTCCTTAAAGACACATATAATCTCCATAATTAATTTTTCCCTTATTTCTCTTCATGTTTTGTAAATCATTAAATATTCATTTTGTTACATTTGTTTATTGACAAACATTCCACTGAATTACAATAGCTATTTTATCAAACATTTTAATCATACATTGTTTCATATTTTCTAAAATTATTTCTGTTTCTAATATAACAATACTATCTTATGTACCTTTGCAGAATACCTTTTTCCATTAAATTTTCACCCATTATCTCTAAATAGGCCCTGTTTCTCTATAATTTGTTTCTGTCCTTTTTAACTTCTTTTCCTTTCTTTCTTCCCTCTCATCTTCTCCCTCCCCTTTTTATCCCCTTGTCTCTCTACTTCTAATTCTCTCTTCTGCATTTCTGCATATTTTTTTGGGGAGTTGTTTTTCCCAATCTTAAACTTTCCATTCTCTTTCCCCCCTTTCCTTTTTCCCCCCCACCTAAGATTACTTGTTCATTAAAGATGGCTTCTTCTTTGTCGCAATCTTCTTGTTCTGCAGGCATTTCTTGTTGTTTCTCATAATTCCAAATCTCCATAAAAACTGAAATACGAAGCCAAAAAAACCTCTCCCTTCTTGTGCATCTTTTTTGTACTTTTTAAGTTCCATTTTCAGTTCTTCTAAAAGTGGAGCCATTTTAAACAGTTTTAAACAACCACCCGATTGATTTTAGTCATTCAAATACAATAACCCAAAATCCAGAAATCATCAAGTAATCCAAATAGTCCCAAGTTATTTCTTCTTATTTCTTTTTCCACTTTCTCTTCCTGGGGTTTTTGTTGAGATATTTCAGTTAAAATGTATATTTTGGAAGTCTTGTTGAGATTTTGCTGTAAGTTCTTTTTAATTCCAGGCAGTCTCCTCCCTTCCAGATCCTGCCCTTTTTTTCAAAAGCTTTTGATTATCCAGAAATCTTTATTATCCCTTTGACTTTTTATTTTCAGCATTAAATGCCTATTAATGTCAAAGTGGATTTTTTTTTCCAATTTCTTGCTTAAGTCTCTTAGCTGTCAGTATAGGAAAAGGAGAAAAAAAAAACACCAAATCTTTTCCCTTTTCTCTCTCCTTCACAGCTTAAAAATCTTCTTAGGGAATAATGTTATTGTTTTTTTAATAGTTTCAATTCCAGGGTACCTTATCTGTTGCTTTTGCTGTTTGACCCGGTCAACCAAAACTTTCTCTTCTTATCTTCCTCCTGCACATTCTTTTCCAGTTGTTCTTCTTTGTGGTGGCCATTTCTGACCACCGCTGCAACCGCCTTCGGGAAAGGGAGTAATGGCCAGCTGGGGAGGAGAGGTGCGGCTCTCCTCAACCCTTCAGGCAATCTCCCCCTTCTTCACCACCTCTACGGGGTGGCTTAGCCCCGAAACCAGCCAGTTCGGGGTGCTCCAGCAGCGAGCATGGATCGAAGCCTCGCAGAGACGAGGTTTCGGTCTGTCGCCAAAGAAGCTCAAACTGGAAGTCTGAAGGCTAGGGTCTTAAGCAACTTTACTTGGCAGAAGACTAATGATTTCCTGCAAGTCTTTACATTTGGGATCAGAATTAAAAGACACAAAAGTCTGATAAGTCAAATTGATAAACTTTTTATAAGAACCATTCCTGTCAAATGCTTCTCCAATCTCAGAGAAACTCTAACTTTTTAAAACACCTAAAATTTACCCAGTTTCTTACATAATACTCAAGGATTTCTGTATCATCACTTCATTTAATAATTGTGATGGAGTCTGAACAATTACTTTTTACAATAATCAAACCAACATTCGATCAGACAGACAGATATTATTAAGTTTTAAGAATAGTAAGAACTAATACAAACTAAAAGGAAACAATAAAGAAGAGATAAAAGAAAAAGCTAAAAATACAAAAAAGTAAGAAGATAAAGAAAAAAAAGGAAAATAGAAAAAAGAAAATATTAAGATCCAATCGTCTTCTCAGCAGATATAAGTACAATTATATTTTAACCTCTCTTTCTAAGATTTCATCATTACTGTCTTCTTTCTATAGTCTATCCTTTCTAATCATCCAAACTGTTAGGGTTTTAGGATTAACCCCTAGCAGAGTATTGCAGCAGTAGTCAAGCCAGGCAGCCAAAGGAGAGCGGAAGGGCCCCAGAGTATACACACACTGAACACAAACACTGTTTGTAGTTTAAATAGTTTTTAATCCAGTTAGAGTTTAAGCATTGTCATTCAGTCCATTAAGTCATTCACAGTATTTCCATCCAGTAAGACTCACTAGTATAGTCCAAGTTTAAGAGTCCTTGCAATATCTTTATCAGCCGATAAAGATATCTTCTCCTCCTCCGGTTTCACTCTCCAGAGAAACAAACGCTGGATATTCAGTAGACTTACGCAGTAAATCAGCAAACAGTAGCAAACAATAACAGTTCAGTCACAGGCACTCACAGTCAGTAATCACAGTTAGTCGCAGCAGCACACAGTTACAGCCAGA